CGCCCACACCCCGAAAAAGAAAGAGGGATTTTACAGAGCTACAGCGTGAACTGGTGGAGAAAGAGATCGTTCGTGTGGAGGTGGAGACCGCAAAACTGCAGCGGAACATGACAAAATAGAGCTGGAGAAGGAGAAATTAAGACTCAACACTATAATTCTTAAGAATCAGCAAAGAATCACTGAAGAAGACAATTTGTCATTCACCATTCTCTAATCATATTTGTTGTTCTTGTTTTTTGAATAAAATAGGCTATAAAACGGCCTAATGAAAATATGCTGTCACAATGGGAGCTTATTGAAATGCGATTGCAAAAAAACAGCGTTCATATTACAAATATACAGGGCTATATGTTGTTTATTATGGATTGCGGTTAAGTCGTCCACCGATATCTTCACGGATGCCAGGAGGATTTTGCTGCTTCTTCTTGTGCTAAGTCAATATAATTCCTAAGGCAGCGCTGGAGAGCCAAGGAAACGTGTCTAATAGCCCGACATGCAGTTGTGCGATGAACATTAATCATGTCTCCCACAGTATTAAAGTAAAATCTGAGCGCAATCAGCACCTGCAGGTTGGGAGTTTCTGTCTGATCCGTTCTGTTGTTGAGGGGAGATCTCCTCGATTAAATCAGAAAGGGCTTGTCTGCCAAAACGAAACCTCTCTATCAGCTCACTGAATAGATGTCCAGTGGGTTTGTTCCATCACGGACGACTCTCTCGTCTTAATGCCCTTTCGTTGTTACAACATGTAAACAAGACGCACTGCCATAGTTAGTTTCCTTCTTGCCTGTTTTACGTTACTATGGATACTAGTCTCTCTTTCCGATTTACGCCTGCTCCATACTAGGCGTAAAAGTTACACCCGAGCGCAACGCATACAGGCCTTAAGTCTAAGTGGAGCACTAGTCATAACTTTAGTTTAGTCTTAACCTTCGGTTCTACGTCGGGCATAGAGTTACGCCCAGTTTACGCCCAGCTGGTGCACTCCACTCCTGATGCTTCTCTAAGCCTTTTTACTTTATTTTCTTCTCTCATCACACATTCAAGCCCCCAGTGTTCATGTATGATTTCAATCTAAATTCTTCACTTTCTTCTTACACATTACATTTCAGCAACTCGGCGTCAGCTTTTCAGCATAAAGCATTCCCACTAGCAACTTCTTCAGGAATTGCATTCTCTAGTTGTATTTATAAACTACAATATACTGACTGAACTACATTTTAATTATCAAGCATTCAGCAAAGCCAAGAGCTCCTCCAACAGATCAAACATGATATATTAATATAACATCAATTAAATAAAACCAAGTCTGACATCTCCTCGCAAAGATAGTTTGTTTGTGTGTGTGTGTGTGTGTGTGTGTGTGTGTGTGTGTGTGTGTGTGTGTGTGTGTGTGTGTGTGTGTGTGTGTGAGTGACAGCAGGGATTGTTGCCTGAAGGCATGTTTCCTTCATGCAAACACAGTGTGACAGCTGACTGATGCTAAACACACACACACACACACACACACACACACACACACACACACACACACACACACACACACAACACACACTCTGTTATTCAGTGTGTATCAGTTACCGCATGTTGCGATTGGGTCTATTCAGCTTATATTTACCGCTAATAACATGATAATGCTATCAGTCTTCATGTTAGCAACCTTTATCACAGGTCCAATATGAGTGCTACATGCTAATGCTACATGCTAATGCTACAGGGTGCTCACCTTCGGCCACGCCCCCGTCAGTTGAGTCGTTGCTCATCCCAAAAGTGAAATCTGGACCAGGAACTGAAAACCCTCTGGAGACGGACCGACCCAGAGAGGCCTGCAGGGGGCATCATCATCATCATCATCATCATCATCATCATCATCATCATCATCATCATCATCATCATCATCTGTGTCTCACCTTGATGTGCAGCGGGTTGGTCAGCATGGAGTCTCTCATCACACCAAGCCTGGGGGAGGACATGGTACCTGAGAGGAGGAGGAGGAGGAGGAAGAGGAATACACCTGACTGAAGATTCACTCCATTTAAAGGTTATTTATGGACAATAACTTTAATTTAAAGGTAGTTTGAAGGTAGTAAAGTTAATTTAACGGTGATTTATGTACAATATCTTTGATTTAAAGGTAGTAACCACGATATAAAGTGAATTTAAAAGTAGTAAAGTTAGTATTTAAAGGTAGTTAGTATTTAAAAAGCCTCACCTGTTCGTTTCTGTGTCTCGGACGTATCGCAATGTTGCTATGGAGACAGGACGCTAACGTGACGTAAGCTGCTACGTGCATTACGTGGCAGTTCAACCGGAAGTTCCAGAGTAAAGTTTAACTGTGTAAAGAAATGTATGATTTTAATACAAAACACATCTAATATAACGTAATATTCTCTTTTACTCTTTCACAGGAATTCCTCAGAATCAATTTAATATATTAAATTATCACTACATTGCTATTATAACCTTATATTAATGTTATTACTGTGACTGTGCTCTGTCAAATATCTAATAACATTACATTGATAATTATCATTATTTATTATATAATATGTTCAACCTTGTGTTTTTATCATAATACCTCTTTAAATTAATGTAATTATTTTTATTTCACAGATAATTCTGTATGTCATTTAAAAATGTTTTTATTTGAAATGTATTTACATGTTTTAACTCCACGCAGCACGGAAGTGACGTCAGGCTCAGTTTGACAAAGATCGTCTCTGTTAGCGGCAGCTGCTCTCATGTCTGCCCGGATAAAGCTGCCTGTTTCGGACATAAACTCTTGTCTCTGACCGGTTCTCTGTGTGTCCCCGGTGCTTCTGGAGGAATGCTCCGGCTCTGGTTCTTCTCGGTGGGGCTGTGGCTACTCGCCCCCCGCTGTGGGAGCTCCTCTGCCCGGCTGTACACGGAGGAGGACCCGCTGGTGATCCTGAGCGGCGGCAGTTTCAGTCCGTCCGTCACTAACTCCTCCTCGGCCTGGTTCATCCAGTTCTACTCCTCCTGGTGCGGACACTGCATCCAGTACTCCGAGACCTGGAAGAATCTGGCCCGGGACGTGCAAGGTACAGCAGAAACCATTCAAACACCATGCAAACACCATGCAAACACAATGAACAGCATGCAAACACAGCAGGGGGGGAAGCAACACCAGAACCAGACTCCATGCACAAAACTGCTAATTACTCCATTAGGCGTTATGGGTCAAACTGGGTGTATGTTAAAAATACAACTCGGTGGGTTTTCTGATGTAACCATAACCCCTCTTTAGTTCGGCATCAATTTATAATCCCAACATGAATAACTAATAACAGCACATTCAAACGTGTGATGCAGAACTAAATAGGAGTTATGGTTTAAGGGTACCGGTACTTAAAGGTTTCCAGTGGGGTTAGGAAACCTTAAAGTGGTAGGTTATTAAATAAGGTTTAGATTGGCAGTTCTTAAAAGGATGATTAATAATAGCTTTGAGTAGATTCTCCTAATATTGATCCGAATCGAACAGCTGTTACTGACACGTGTCTGTTCTCCTTTGTAAACACCAGCACCAGACTCCATGTAGAGAACTACTAATTACTTAATTCAAACTCTATGCTTTATACTGGGAGTGTGTTAAAATACCACTGGGTGTGTTTTCTGATGCTTTCATAACTCCTCCTTAGTTCGGCATCATCAATATATAATCCCAACATCAATAATTAATAACATTAAATCGTGTTTTTAGAAACGTGTGATGCTCATTAAGTCAGGGGTTCAGTGGTGTTGGGCAACCTGAAAGTGGTCGTTTTTTAAATGAGGTTTTGAATGATGAAAAATGAAATGCTTTAAAATAACCTTTTCTGTATTCTTTCATCAGCTGTTTGTCTCTGGTTGTTGTTGTTGTTGTTGTTGTTATCAACAGATGCTATTAGGTTTGGTCAACAGGTGGCCGGGCTGAATCACAGGAAGATATAAAAACAGTTTGATGGTTTTTAAGATAAAATTCAGCTTTCTGTGTGTTCCCTCTCCTGGAGTGTGTTAGGGTTAAAATCCCAGGAACCCAGTGACATCACTATGTAACAGTGCTCCAACACATGTACGTGATAGGCTAAAGGGGCGGGACATCTCTAAGCTGGTTGACCAATCACAACACAGCCGGCCAGCTAACCAATCAGAGTAGCTCTGGTTTCAGACAGGGGGTGAAAAGAGGTGCTGCAGCACATTAGAGCATGGAGACATGTAGAGACACTACATACTGATATACACCTGAACATCAGCAGGAGAGAACTCTTTAAAGTAGAGACTCTACGTACTGATATACACCTGAACATCAGCAGGAGAGGACTCTTTAAAGTAGAGACACTACATACTGATATACACCTGAACATCAGCAGGAGAGGACTCTTTAAAGTAGAGACACTACATACTGATATACACCTGAACATCAGCAGGAGAGGACTCTTTAAAGTAGAGACACTACATACTGATATACACCTGAACATCAGCAGGAGAGGACTCTTTAAAGTAGAGACACTACATACTGATATACACCTGAACATCAGCAGGAGAGGACTCTTTAAAGTAGAGACACTACATACTGATATACACCTGAACATCAGCAGGAGAGGACTCTTTAAAGTAGAGACACTACATACTGATATACACCTGAACATCAGCAGGAGAGGACTCTTTAAAGTAGAGACACTACATACTGATATACACCTGAACATCAGCAGGAGAGGACTCTTTAAAGTGGAGACACTACATA